GAAATAGTCATAAATAGATTCTTCTCCAAAGGCAGCTAATTTTTCGAACAATATGTTTCCATTTTCTTCTAATTTTAGGCTACATATTCTTCTCATAATCTCATAAGAGGTTGGTCAAGGATGATCATTTTTTAAGCAATTCCACACTTCTTTAGATGTTTTAGCTTCTTTACGTGAATGAGTTGATTGTCCTCAACCAGAAAACAAATGGTGGCTCTGGCTTGGTTATCTTTAGTTTTTCACTCTTCGTTAGAATATTTAAGGGTTTATTTTTTTACCATATCCATAATTAATAGAAGTTCTACCACATATTTTCAAACGAAGAAGGTAGTTTTCTCCATTTAACTTAGAGATGGAGAACTTGTTTTTGGAACCAAAACACTTACCTGTTTATCTGCTAAAAGAAATTTAAATTTGACTGATTAAATAAATAATCTTAATGATCAAAACCTTTGAAAATCATATTACAAACTGATTGTGGCTCAACTTTTTTCCTTGGGCCATTCTATTAAGAATAGCGAAAGCTCATTTGAACCAGTATAATTTTAAAATTTAGGCAAATATACATACACATTGCATGGTATACAAAAAATAGTGAAATTTTGCAGTTGGGCGCTGAGCGACTCAAATAGGTTCTAGGTAAAAACAAAAAGTTTACGAATGCTGTCAACATTTTCTTTCGAACGCTTTTTTAAATATATTTCCAGAGAAAATATGGCCGGACGCCACCCTTAAAAAATTCTGAAAGAAGAGTTAGTTAACCATTTTAAAATAATACGAGTTTGATATACAGGGTGGTGTCCCATTAGTGCGTAATTGTTTAATATTTCAGTTTGTGTTACAGACACGCAAACAAGTTTCAAATAAGAGTTATATGAATTGAAGAAATACCTATTATAAATATAATTTTGGATATATTGGGTGTTGCGTTTTTTGCCTGGAGCATAAAAATGTATATTTTGTTTGGTAATACTGTAATAAACCATAGAATTTTTCTTCAAAATATTACAGAGATACCAAGCAATTAATTTTTTTATGAAATTAGAGAACGATGTAGTCCCCAAAATAAATTATCATAATTTAGGTAGGTTTACACTGATTTCAAAATTGTCAGGTATACATACTTATAAGATACTAAGCTAACGAATAGTGGTAACAGAACTGGTTTATTTTTTACAGAGTGTTTTGAAACATGTCTCAAATATGGCTAATTTTAAGTTCAATTTATTTAATTTTTTTTAAATGCAACACTCTGTGTATTATGTTAGCATAAAATTCCTTATGAAATTTACCTGTTGAACGATACCAACATGTTAGCCAATAAATACAGGGTGTACAAATCAGTGAGTAGTTGATCTATAGTTGTTTTATTATTGGAAATACAAAAAATTAATATAAAAGTTGTATGACATCATATTTAATAATTATTCCTACATATACAGGGTAGTCCATAAATGAGGGGATGACCAAACCTTTACGTTTTTTAAACACTCTGCAGTTAGTTATACATATTTGATTGTTTTCACATTGCCAAACAATTTTAATTGACTTCATTCATTTGCTATGTTGTATATAGGGTGTGTCAAATGTCGAGGTTACGATTTTCTCAATTTTTTTAATAGTAGTAATTAATTGGTGATATAATATACACGGAATTCCATTTAAAAACTTGAGAAAATCGTTACCTCGCATTTTGACACACCCTATATTCAACATAGCAAATTGAATTCTATTAAAATTGTTTAATTATGTGAAAACAAATATGTATATCTACCTGCAGGATATTTTGCTTTAAAAATGTATAAGTTTGGTCATTCCTTCATTTATGGACTACCCTTTATATTTTTTAATAGTTAAATATGGTCTTACAACTTTTATATTATTTTTTTTCGTATTTCCAATAATGAAACAGCTATAGATCAAATACGCACTGATGGTGCACCGTGTATGTGTCTTATTGGCTAACATGTTGATATCGTTAAATAGATAAGTTCATAAGGAATTTTATGCTAAAATAATATACAGGGTGTTGTATTTAAAAAATTGAGTAAATTGAACTTAAAATTAGCCCTATTTAAGACTATTCCTTACAGTGTTGCCAGTCTAGTACAATTGTACTAGATCTAGTACATTCTCTGAGAATCTGGTACTCTAGTACACTCGACACAATATCTAGTACTTTTTTCAGCGTATGTTTCCATTTGAAGTGTAAAATATATTGGTCAAAAATTGCAAGAGAAATTAAAATATGTAGTTGTTAAAAATTACTTCAGAGATAAAATAGTAGACATTTGTCGAGAGATAAAACATTGTTTAAAAATTGTACGAGAGATTAACTATTGTTCAAAAATGGCTTGAGAGGTAAGAAAGGGTGTTAAAAATTGATCAAAGTATAAAATAGTATTAGAAATTGCTTGAGAGGTAAAATATTGTTCAAAAATTGCTCTAGGGATAAAAATACTGTTAGAAATTTAATGAGAGATAAAAATATTTAATAATTTTTCCAGAGTTTAAATAGTATTATAAATTGTTAAAATCGTGTTCAAAAATTGCTCGAGGTAAACTAGTATTACAAAATGTTAAACCCTTGTTCAAAAATTGCTCGAGAGATAAAATACTATTGAAAAATTTGTTGAGAAATAAAATATTGTTCAAAATTGACTCAAGAGATACCTACTATTAGAAATTTCTCGAGAGATAAAACATTGTTTAAAAATTCCTCGAACGATAAAATACTATTAAAAAATGCTCGAGAGATAAAATATTGTACAAACATTGCTCGAGATATAAAACATTGTCAAAAATTTTTCGAGAGTTAAAATATTTTTATAAATTTGTCGATAGTTAAAATATTGTGCAGATTGCTAAAGAGATAAAAAAGTTGTTAAATATTGCTCGAGAGATAGAATAATGTTAGAAATTTATCGAAAGATAAAATGTTTAAATATAGCTGAAGAGATAAAAAAAGGTTTAAAAATTGTTCTAGAGATAAAATAGTATCATAAGTTATTAAAATCTTATTCAAAAATTACTCGAGAATTCAAAAATACTGTTAAACATTTCTCGAGAGATAAAACATTGTTTAAAAATTGTTAGAAAGATAAAAAATGTTAATAAAAATTGCTCGAGAGATAAAATAGTGTTAGCAATTATTAAAATTTTGCTAAAAAATTGCACGAGAGATCAAATATTTTTCAAAAATAGCTTCAAAGGTAAAAAAGATGTTAAAAATTGCTCGAGTGATTAAATAGTGTTAAAAATTGTACAAAAAAGTTTGTACAAAAATTTCTCGATGGATAAAGAAGTTGTTAAAAATTGCTCGAGAGATAAAATATTGTTAGAAATTTGTTTAAAATTGTTTAAAAACTGTTCGAGAGATAAAATATTATCAAAAGTTGTTAAATCTTTTTCAAAAATTGCTCGAGAGATAAAATAGTGTAAAAAATTGTTAAAATTTTGCTCAAAAATTGCACGAGAGATCAAATATGGTTCAAAAATAGCTTGAAAGGTAAAAAAAAGCTGTTAAAAATTGCTAGAGTGATTAAATAGTGTTAAATAAAATATTGTACAAACATTGCTCGAGAGATAAAAGAAGTTGTTAAAAATTGCTCGAGAGATAGAATACTGTTGGACATTTATCGAGAAATAAAATATTTTTTAAAAATAGCTCAAGAGATAAAAAAAGGTTTTTTAAAAACTGTTCGAGATATAAAAATAATATCAAAAGGTATTAAAATCTTTTTCAAAAATTGCACGAGAGATCAAATATTGTTCAAAAATAGCTTGAAAGATAAAAAAACTGTTAAAAATTGCTCGAGAGATAGAATACTGTAAGAAATTTATCGAGAGATAAAATATTGTTTCAAAATAGCTCAAGAGTTAAAAAAAAATTAAAAACTGTTCGAGAGATAAAAGAGTATCAAAAGGTATTAAAATCTTATTCAAAAACTGCTCGAGATATAAACTAGTGTCAGAAATTTGTCGAGAGATAAAATATTGTTTAAAATTGTTGTGTTCGTGTTCTCTATAAACCTTTTTTGGTCTTTAATGACCATACTTCATAATTAGATAAATCTGGTAATTTTATAGAATCTAGTACATTTTTATGAAATCTGGTACATTTTTTAGATAAATCTGGTACATTACAAAAATATATTCTGGCAACACTGATTCCTTAGCTTAGTACCTTATAAGTCTGTATATTAAAAAAAATTAAAAATCAATGTAAACCTACATAAATTAGGATAATTTATTTTGGGGTCTGCATCGTTCTTTAATTTCATAAAAAACTTAATTGCTTGGCAAACCTGTAATATTCTAAAGAAAAATTATAGGGTTAAATACAGTATAACCAAACCATTCTAAAACTGAAATAAAATACAGGGTTTCAATTTAAAAAATATACATTTAATATTTGCCAGGCAAAACATCCAATAATATTTTTAAAATAGGTATTTTTTAAATTCATATAAATTAATTTAAAACTTGTTTGTGTGACTGAAACACAAATTGAAATATTGGCATCCTGTAGGTGAGTTCGGGCTGCGCACTCCAGAGTGGAGTGGAGTAAGTAGGCGTAAACGGAGTGCGCATATGGTTTTACTCCTTTTATTCTCAGAGTTCAATGTCAGTTGTCAATGTGACATACTAATACTTAAAACCTAATCGTACTTATCAGTAACAACCGTATAAGTTTCTTCCATATTAATGGTATGCACGGGAATCAAATAAAAAGCATTTTTACTCAAGAATTAGTCACAATTATCTTATTATCGATTTAAATCACCTTATGCGCATGCCCGATCCACACTCCACTCCACGATCTCCGAACGATCAAAGAGGAACTTTTATTTTAACTCCTTCCGTACCCGAATGCTTTAGGTACTTTAGGAGTGAATATAGTGAAAAGAGTGCGTAGACCGAACTCACCTTGTGTAGGCGATATTTATTAAAAACTTATTTTCTAGAGGATTCAAACTATAATATGAATGATTTTTCAGTGTACACATTAGAGTTCATTTACCAAGCCAGGAAGAGCATCACCATAAGGAAGTAATCAAAATTCATGATGACAGCGGAGGCGGCGGACATGGACACGGAGGAGGTGGTGGATACGGAGGCGGCGGAGGATTTGGAGGCGGTGGTGGACATGGCGGAGGTTTTGGAGGAGGTGGCGGATTTGGAGGAGGTGGCGGATATGGAGGCGGTCACGATGACCACGATATAGGTAGGTTCTTATTTTAAAAATAAATTTAATTTTAAAGATATTAACAAAGTAACTAATAAATTCGAGTACTAATTATTATTGTTTAGTATCTAATTAATATTTTTTTTACTACTAACGTAAGAAAATATCTTACTTTGTTTTTAAGCCAAAAAAACTTTAATTTCTTTATTAGCAGTTACTAATATTTCAATATTGAGCACAGCTCAATAATGCAAACAAATTCATAACTTAAAATTATGTTAAAAGTCCACCTTTGTAGCAAAACCAATTTTTAAAGCATTCATTTTTTTTATATACCTAGTATTAAATGTTTCGTATTTTAATTACAATTATTACTGAAAAATTATAAATAAGAATTTCACAAATTTTGGTTTTAGTAGGGAATTTATGCTATAATATACTATACTCTGTTTTTAAACTAAGAGGAGCGATTTGAATTTAAGTTGGCAATTATGTAGCCTTCTGATTGGTCAGATTACAGTCAGTTTCACACATTACTTTTTAGCATGAACATCAGCTAATAATTGATATTGTTGACAGTTCTGACATTTTATAATTTGATATCTCATCCATTACTTAGTTTTTTACTTTATTTCGTAAATAATAGTTCTTCAGTAAGCAATTGTATTGAAAATCTACAATTATGGATCCTTCTACACTAAGTACTATTAAAGGTAGCAATTCCTAAAAAGCCTTACAAGAAAGGGAAGACACCTTATTATTTTACATGCTGATTCTGAAGGTTTTGTAGAAAATGCATTATTGGTTTTTGAAGGTAAAAAGATGGGAGATTACCATAAAGAGATGAATTCCGAAGTATTTTAGAAAAAAATAATTTTATTACTGATTTTTTAAAACTAAAAATTGATGAATTTCTAACCAAAATGATTAAAATGTAACTAAATATTTAAGCAAATGTTATTTATTTTAGAATAGAATAAAACTATTTACAAAATTGTTATAACATTTAAAACACCATCTACTACTTTAGGGATAATCTTAATTTGGCACAATGAGTTAACATTACTTTCACAAAAAATATTTTAAAAATACTTAAAATTAATACATAGGTATGTATGAATAGTTCACTTTAAAAAATATATGTTGACTTGTAGTGTTATGAAAATGTTGGTTCCAGTTTTCGAAACAAATTCTGACTCATAGGCCTGTAAACTTTTGAATGGGTTAACACTAAATAAGCCATAATATCCACATTACTCATAGAAGAGATACCAGTTACTGTGTGATCCACTTGTCATTCACTGATTAACTTTTACTTTTTATACCTATAACAAATTATCCTTAAAAATGTAAACAGATCTTTATATTTTATACTAACCTGGCTACAACTTGATATTCCATTAATAATTTTCTTAAATATTTAATATCCGTTTTAAAAAGATCATAGTTATTCTCAAAAAGTCGATTTCAAAAGCAAGAAAAAAGTATTTCTGACATCAATCAACAACCATATTGACTTTAATTTGACAGTGACATTTCGTTTTAGACACACATTTCAGATCACAATAATGTGAAATTTGCGACCGTTGTCTGGGACCAATTAAAAAATTACTTCTATGGCATTTATTCGTTTCTTAACCGCTCATTGGCCGTTCGCCGACTAAGGCCGATAAAGATAATTATTTTATAAATTTTGAACATGACTATATTTCGAAACTCGCTCTTAGTAACAATCTAACTACTTTTTCCTGTGTAAATGCGTCTTTTCAATTCGCTTCTCCTAGTTTAAAAACAGAGTATAGTACTATAACTTACTTTTACTATAACTTATTTTTTCTAATTTTGACAAATGAAGTGACATTTTTTGTAATCGCAGCAAGTGTCAAAATGATCTACTTTACGCAACCATTTGCATAATGTTGAATATCATGAATCTTTTTTAGTATTGAAATCATTAATATACATTATTATTAAAAGTTTATTTCGAAGAAGGGCAGGTTGACTTATAAAAATAGAATTTGGGTAAACTTACAACCTAGTAATAATGTTGTTTAGGTCCTTATTTTCCATTTTAAATCAGCACAAAATAATTAAAACAATATACTATAAACTAACTCACTTTTTTGAAAACTAAATAACTTTAATATAAATATAAACACAACAAGTCGTTAAGAATAAATAATTAATATCATATTCTATTAGTCAACAAAATGATCTCGGGGGGAAGGGGCATGGCCCCTATAGCCCCCCTGGAGCCGCCCTTGGAAGGGAACATATTAAATAACACTCATAGCCTGGCTCGAGACGATAGAAAAAATTGTTTTAAAATAAACAAATAAATAATATTTTTAATTAGGATTTTATTCTCTAGTATCTATAGTATTTTTGAGGAAGGGCGCGCGGCCATTCGGCCTTAAAAAGTAGTCGCCCCTGAATATAATAGTCCTTTAAATTTTACAAGGTTTAGTAATCGCTACTCGTTTTACGGTATTAAAATTACTGCATGCTAAGACACCCATATCACCTCTAATGAATAGAGAAAACTGAAGGTGGTCAGAAAACTAAAAAAAAAAAAAAAATAAATAATGAAGGAAGAAGAGAAATAGACAGGCTCTTGAAAGAGCCGATTAGAGAAACTAGTTAGTTTCTAGTCAGACCCAATAACATTTTAAAGAATGTCCCACAAAGATAATACCGTAGAAGAAGTTGGAGTCTTTAATGAGTAGGCCCGTAAAAAAGACACCTATATCACATTTAGCCTGGATACTTGGTCAAAACCATATAAAACATCTGAGGTAAATTTTTGGCCATGACTAATTATGAACTGTTTCGTGTGATTGCGGAGGATTTGCCTCGGGAACTGCTTAAATCATTCAATAATGGGTACAAAAAAAATTATAGAATATATTATTTAAAGTTGAGAAATGTAGTGAAAAGCAGGCTGGAATCCAACCCTTATTAAGGGGAGCCAATGGCTGGTCCCAAGCCTGTTTGCGGCTTGGGGGTTGGGAGGAACAGATCCTGCCGGAACAGAGGTATGTCTAAAAGAGTAAAAAAATCATTGATTATATTAAAAACAAAAAATAATATCTAGATATATGAGATTTTTAGGCAAAGAAAAAATTCTACAGGCGCACTAGCAAGGTTGCTAGAGCATCCGCCTGTTAAAGCCCTTATGAATCTTCTTAAGTATCCACCTGAAGTAAGGTATTTAACGGTGTATTTCAGGCTTTTCTTTCGTTTCGAAAAATTTATTTCTGATTTTTTTAAACTTTAAACTTAATTTTATTCAATATATTAAACTTTTATGCGTTTTTAGGTGGCCATGGAGGTGGATTTGGCGGAGGAGGTGGATTCGGCGGTGGAGGAGGATATGGCGGAGGTGGTGGACATGGGGGTGGAGTTTCTCATACCATCGTATTAAATGATCATGGCGGACACGGAGGAGGTGGAGGAGGAGGTGGCCACGGCGGTGGTGGTTACGGAGGCGGTGGTGGATATGGAGGCGGTGGTCACGGAGGTGGTTTTGGAGGAGGACATGGAGGTGGTTTCGGAGGAGGTCATGGAGGTGGCCACGGAGGTGGTGGTTATGGAGGTGGCCACGGAGGTGGAGGTAGTCACGGAGGAGGAGGAGGAGGAGGAGGAGGTGGTTACGGAGGCGGCCATGGAGGTGGTCATGGAGGAGGACAAATTTTAACTCTGCATGGAGGTGATCCACTACCAAGTGGGGGTAAGATGATCGTAGTATTTTGAAACTTAAACTTGCTTTTTTACCCTCACTAAGCCACTTGCACATGGTAATAGTAATAGACTTAAATAAGTCTTAAATAATAAATATTACTTATACTTATATAATACTTATATAAGACTTAAATAAGAATTAAATTAGATCTAAATAAGACCTAACTAAGACTTAAATAAGACTAGTAAGACTTAAATACGACTTAAATACGTCTTAAATATGACTTAAATACGACTTAAATACGACTTAAATACGACTTAAATACGACTTAAATACGACTTAAATACGACTTAAATACGACTTAAATACGACTTAAATACGACTTAAATACGACTTAAATACGACTTAAATACGACTTAAATACGACTTAAATACGACTTAAATACGACTTAAATACGACTTAAATACGACTTAAATACGACTTAAATACGACTTAAATTGACACTTTTGGAGAGTAACAATGAATTAAAACTTTGTACAGGTACGTTATTTAGAACATAATTTAAAATGTTGTGTAGCTTTAGAAATAAAAATAATTTATATGGTAATGTAGCATGAAGGTCTGAAATATTTCGCATTGCGTCTAATGAAGAAATGACAGTATGACCCGTCAATCTCTACTGATGGATCTAAGGTAAAAGAAAGCTCGGGATGTAACATTTATTGCACAAATTTGAACCTAAAACATAAAATGGGTTATGGTGTAAAATGTAAATATAGTCCAAACCGAAACTGATATGTTTACAATAATTACAAGAGCTGCAAAGAAACACCAGTAAACATATTACAGGCGTTCATGTAAATATTATTACATTGGGGGTAATATAATGCTATTAAGTCTTTATAGAAGCTGCAAATAGCAATGTGGTCCTACTCAGGGTAAGACAAAAATAGTGGACCAGGATAAAATCTTTTGGTTTCTTCATAAATAATACGACTTTAGCATTATTAAAACAAGGCAAGCCAATTTAATAAGAAACTGAGGACGTGAAACTTGCCAGGCATACCTACACTATACGACGTTTGGTAGTGTTAGGTATCTTAGCAGATCATTGCCAACTATGCAGACGTGCCCATAGAAAGAGGAAAGCTGACGCACCTCGAAGCAGGAAAAGTGAAGAGGAAGATGCACCCGTTTTTGTTTAAGAGGTTTCTCCTCTTTACATATTCTACATAGGGAGTCATCAGATATCACTAAAAGTTTTAGGTGTTTTCTAAGTTTGCAGTGTCCCGTAAAGAATCGTATTAAGTCATGTAGTTCGTTCCTGCTAAGGTTTAGCAGTTGATTTTGTCTGCTTTTGGATGTACCCTCTATGAATATTCTGGATTGCCTGAGTCCAAGAAATTTCAAGCAGAGCTTATAAAGTCATCTATTAACCTGCTCCATTAACACACATTTTACATGTTGATATGAAATACCACATGTGGGCTCTGGGCCAATTAGAGTTTTCCTCCTGCTTATCAGATCTGCGTTCTAGCTTTCCAACACTTCCTCATATTCTAGCGCCCATTTAAGAGTGACCTTATGTTTTGTCAGGACCTGCTGGTACTATTGGCAATCAAATAATTATACTTTTAGTACCTTATTGTCATACCAAAGATCCTCTTAGCCTGCAAGACTGTTGCCAGTGACCTCATATCCTCTTATCTTCTGTGCTGTTTTTTTCGAACCGTCTGTATACCAGATTTATTTGTTTTGTATTTCCTTATTTTCTCACTTTCTGGCCGTTTCTGGCATTTGAATATTGAAAGATTTCGTAAAGTCATAAATAATAGGAGTTCAATCCAACGACACTATTATTCAGTTTTTGGATTGCGTTAGTGCTAATTTTCACAAAATTTCTGTCATATAACAGACTAAAGGCAACAGAACACCAGAGCTGGGCAGAGTACTGCATTAAAGTACTCAAGAGTACTTATAATGAGTAGCTTTACAAAGTACCTGAGTGTGAGTACTTAAATAAATAATACTCAAAACAAATCAGTTCAGTAGCAAATTTTAGAGAGTACTCATAAAAAATCGACTAAAAGGTATGAGTATTTTAAACAATTCTAGTTAGTGACTTGACATAAAATCCTTTTCTCACCTATCATATCAATCCGTAAATCACTTGGTTATTGTGATCGATATAGGTATATAGGTAGGTAACAAAAACAACAAATATGTAAAAGCAATTCTTCAACAGAACTAAGTTTTTAAAATTCGTATCACTCATGACATTACGCTTTTAAACATTTATTATCGTTGCAAGCATGAAGAGCCTTTCAACTGGTGCGGAAGAAGCACCGGTGGATCCAAGGGGGACAACGGGGCAATTGCCCTCTCCCCTGAGACAAATAACCCCAGTAGTTGATATCTTTGACCTCTGAATTCTAATAAAAAAGAACCGTCTACGCTATGAACCCAGCTAACGAAGGCAATATGGCGTATTTGTATATATCAATTTTTTAATTATTACTGGATGATAGTCTTCCAGAATTGAAAGTGCTGCTTGGATCATCGAGATATAGCAGGAACTCAAGTTTTATTGTTACAACAACACATTCTAAAGGCTGAGACTGCTGAGAGTGACTTGTCCTCGCACATTCAAATATTACCTAGCACAAACCCACAGAACAATAATATGTGCTGTTCATTAACATAATTAACATTTCATTATTTAACTTCCCGACAGATCTCGATCTTCTAACACAGAGTTAAAAGAGTGCACTCGGAGTCCATACTCAGAGTCATATCGAACGCGATAGATCGCACTCCGAATCTCTAAAAAAATGCGAAAATAAACTGAGAGCAATCTGAGTTTCTACTCGAACTCATGTTGTTTCTTCTCTAAAAATAGGTATGTTATCGAATCGAGAGCGACTCGAGAACGAAACTATAGTAGGTTAGTTCGGGCTGCGCACTCCAGAGTGGAGTGGAGTAATTAGGCGTAAACGGAGTGTGCCAATGAACTGGAGTGGGGTAGAAAGCCAATGTGAATATTGTATCAATAGAACAAGATGCGACTCTATGAGCGCAGCCATTTATATTTCTCATCTCACTCGGGAGTATTTATAATAACCATTTTCTGTTTCACATTGGTATTGTTCAATCCACAAGCTGGTTTTATTATCTTATTATTCACACTCCACTTCATGATCCCCGAATAATCAAAAAGAAACTTTTATTTTAACTCCTTCCGTTCCCGAAGGAGTGAATAGAGTGAAAAGAGTGCTCTCCCGAACTAACCTATCGTTGATCAACCTGATCAATCATTTTTCTGTTAGTTTTATTGCAACAGCATAGTAGAAAACATTTTTTTTTAATATATTTCATTCATTTTTAGCATTGGCAACACCTTTCACATACCTACAAATGTAATGTTAGTTGCTAATGTCCACTTAGAGTTAAATGGTTCCTGTACTGGTTTTTATTAAATAAGTTTCTGATTGACCACATTTATTAACAGCTTTGTAGAGTTAGATAAAAAATTATTGCTAAATCGTATAATTTGGCATTGAATTAGTATTGGATAATGTTACGTACTCTAATACATATTTCCTTTTTTTTCAGGAGGACACGGAGGAGGCGGAGGTGGATACGGTGGTGGAGGTGGTCACGGAGGCGGAGGAGGTTTCGGAGGCGGATTTGGAGGTGGATTCGGAGGAGGCCATGGCGACGAACATGGCGGCGGAGGAGGAGGAGGTTTTGGTGGAGGATTTGGAGGAGGCTTTGGAGGAGGTCATGATGATGGGCATGGCGGCGGAGGTGGAGGAGGATATGATTTAACAGGAGGAGGATTTGGAGATGACCATTCTCACGGAGGAAACGATTTCGGAAGTAGTGGTCATGGCGGAGATGGAGGCGGCGGATACGGAGGGGGCGGCGGATATGGAGGAGGCGGTGGACACGGAGATGACGGTGGACATGGAGGAGGCGGTGGTTTTGGAGGAGGCGGTGGTTTTGGAGGAGGCGGTGGATATGGAGGAGGCGGTGGTCACGGCGGAGGCGGCGGAGGCGGTGGCCACGGAGGCGGTGGTGGACACGGAGGAGGATACGGAGGTGGTGGGGGATTTGGAGGAGGCGGTGGACATGGTTCAAGTGGTTTCGTAGGAATTATACATGATCATCTTTCTCACGGAGGTGGAGGAGGTGGAGGAGGAGGCGGCGGCGGCGGCTATGGAGGTGGTGGAGGAGGCGGTCATGGAGGTGACCACGGAGGAGGCCATGGGGGTGGAGGCGGAGGAGGTTTCGCAGGGTATCCATAGGGTATTTCTTAGGTCTATGCCATACGTTATTTAATTTATTTGTTAATGTGATTGTTAAGATAATTTTTGTAAATATTAGGTATTGTAATATATTTTTGTTTTAAAACGCAAGACTTTACTTTTTTAAAAACATCTTCATTTAAAAAATTAACATTTGCTGATAGGTAATAATAGAAGTTAATCGCAAAAAAAACAAATAGATCTAATCTACAATCATTTAATTTTGGAATACTTGTTAAAGAACTTTTTATTAATGCAATGGAATTCCTTTTACACTTCAAGTAAATTTTCAGTTATTTCGTTTGAGATAACCATATCGTCGAAAATAACTAAATAATCCATTGATGAGTAACAATTGCCGTCCCTCAATTGTTATTTTGAGTATGGAGTTAGTGGGAAGAGGACGGAGTCAATAAGAAAATTTAATTTCTTATAATTTATCGACGTTCAAACGTAATTTTACGTTTTAAATTAGTTAAAACTAGGCATATATAAAATTTTCAAAAAAAAGAAAAATCGAATAATTCGTATATTATTAAAATATAATACCTAGTAAAAGGTAAAAAGATCAATTATTTTAGTATCAGATTTGGCTCAACTTTCGTTTAGCCGAAATCTGTTATGCAAAAACTGTTGTCATAATAACAATTGTGATGGCTATGAGTAAACAAAAACCCTAATCTTATGGTGAGGAAATGCGTAGTTGCCAAGTTGTAGATTATTACGGTTTTTGTTTAATTTCATTTAACTGAAATAAGTTATGCAAAAAATGTTGTCATGGGCACGCTTGTCATGTTACCGACTAAACAAAAACCCAAATCTCGTAGTGGGGAAATGCGTAGTTGCCAAGTTATAAATAATTTAATGTTCACTTTAGTTTAGCCGAAATCAGTTACGGAGAAACTGTTTTCAGGGAAACGCTTGTCATGCTAAGGACTAAACAAAAATCCAAATCCGGCAGTGAGCAAATGCGTTGTTGCCAAGTTATAGATTATTTAATGTTCAATTTAGTTTAGCCGAAATCAGTTATGAAGAAACCGTTGCCATGGAAACGCTTATTATGCTAACAACTAAACAAAAACCCAAATCTCGTGGTGAGAAAATGCGTAGTTGCCAAGTAGTGGTTAGTAGGTGGGTGGAACGAGCGTAGCGTGATCTTATAATGAGGAAAAGTCGGCCGGGCACGCTCGCTTTCCTCTGTAGTAGATAAGAGGTGGGTGGAAGGAGCGTAGCGTGATCTTACGATGTAGGTGGAAAAAGGGCGTGCCCGGCCGACGTTTCGAAATTCGCGCGCGCGGATTTCCAAACGTCGGCCGGGCGCTCTTGATTCGCTCGCTTTCCTCTGTAGTAGTTAAGAGGAGGGTGAGAGGAGCATAGCGTGATCTTACGATGTAGGTGGAAAAAGGGCGCGCCCAGCCAACGTTTCGAAATTCGCGCGCGTGTATTTCGAAACGTTGGCCAAGCGCGCTGGCTTCGTTCGCTTTCCTCTGTAGTAGTTAGGTTGTGGGTGGGAGGAGCGTAGCGTGATCTTATAGAGAAACTGGTGCCATGGAAACGTTTGTCATGTCAATGAGTAAACAAATCCCGTAGTTGCCAAGTTATCGATGGTTTCATTTTCACTTTAGTTTAGATTAGGATATTGTGTTAAGAGTAAATCTAAATATAAGGGGCAACTACGCATTTCTTCACCACTAGATTTAGGTTTTGTTTAGTCAACATCACGACATCTTCAATACCGATTTCAGATAAACTAAAGTAAAAATTAAATGACCTGTAACTTGCCAACTATGCATTTTCTTACCACAGGATTTGGGTTTTTGTTTAGTCGTTACCATGTCAAGTGTCTCTATGGCAAGATTTTCTCCGTAATTGATTACAGCTAAATTAAATCATCTGTAACTTGGCAACCACGCATTTCCTCACCATGGGATTTGGCTTTTTGTTTAGTCGTACTATGTCAAGCGTTCCCATGGCAACAGTTTTACCATAACTGATTTCGTCTAAACTAAAGTGAACATTAAATAATCTATAACTTGGCAACTATGCATTTCCTCACCACGAGATTTGGGTTTTTGTTTACTGGTTACCATGGCAATGGTTGCTATGGCAACAATTTTTACGTAACTGATTTCGGCTGAACGAAAGTTGACCCCCGAGATATAGAGTGTAAAAAGATTAAAATCAAAATTCAAAATTTGCCATAAATCAATAATGTTATGTAGATAGGTAATGTTAAATTACGCTCTTGTAAAAGCTACCTTTACTTGTTTATAATAAAGTTGGCAACAATGTACGCCGTTGAGAACTGTCAACTTCACTGCTTGTCGTCGTTTCAATTATATTTTAATCAGAAACATATATTTTTTTAATGAATCTACCGACATCCTTATTCTTCTATCTTATTTAATGACAGAACTTAACAGAAGTCCACAACGTAATTTTTCAAATTTAATTCACCGAGATCTTGTCATATGCACGAACTATTAAAAATCTGACATGTGCCTACTAGATTAGAATTTAGAAATACTGAGTAGTTACAAATGTCTAATTACTTGCAGATTTTTGTTTAGAAAAGTAAATTCTGTAACAAGGTTGAAATGAAAATCCGATACTCGTGGACAGAGTAACAGATTGTATTTTCTCCACGGCCACAGACATAGTAGCAGTTGAATGTAGTAAATTGAAAATTTGAACAAAATGAAATATTTAATCTAACTTATGTTAGGCAAGTTTTTATTTAAATTATTTGCCTAATTTGTCAATTCAGGAGGAATATTATTAAATTTCCTATAGAAATCATAATATTCACCAATTTTTAAATTTAAGTTTGACTTAACAAACGCCGCTTATCGTTATTCGGGTAAATTTAAACTAAATACTAATACGTCGCCTAGAACTATCATTTATGAAATTCATGACTATCTACGATGCGGGCGTTGTATTCATAAACATTGACAATTAGCTATTACATAATCAACATTCTATCTCTAAAATTAAAATGAAATACGTGTAAAATACATAAGAGGCAAGTGTTTCAGCATTTTCTGTCAATCTCAAGAGCGAGAATGTTTTCTTTCTGTTATTATAAGAGGTTTTGAAAGAACTTCATTCGGTACTGCCGTGGAGAAACCAATTTCTACAACACCTCCATTTGCTATATAAAATATATAAAAGGTTATTACTTTTTTAACTAAAAATGAACAGAGAATTAAAACAAAATGTTCCAGTGGCATAAAAAACAGCGACACTGGTTAAATTTTTCAAAAGATAGTTTATGCCAAAATATTACTTTATTAAAGGGGACATTGTAAACTAAATTAAAAAAAAATTGATTTTAAACTTTTAACATCCTGTATGGCGGTAAAGGGACTCTTTAAGGGTTTATGTTCCCATATCAAAATTCATCAGTTAACATGAGCTCTCTGTGGTAGAACGTTGTCAGTCGAATATGGTGACACCCTGTATATGTAAATATTTAAAGAGCTGTAATTGTAATCAGAGATTTATAAACCAGTACAGGGAGATAATAAATTAAAAATACAGTCCATCAGTACCAACGCTCGTTTTTAGGGTTCATACATGGTGTGAGTACAAACCACCAAACTCCCAAAACTCCTATCTGCAATCCAGCAAAAACATTATTTGTTGTGAGTTGTTCATCTGTTTACACTTTTATGTTATGCGATTTTTCAGTTCTTCCAGATTTTGAATGGGTGTTGAAAAATCACATATGTTTAAATCGCAAGATCTTAAGCCCTGTGGAGCGAGCAGATAGAATGACTTCATACTGTCGGGGTGGTAGAAGTCCACCAAATGTGCACTCGCCAGAAATAGAGCATCTAGAGGCACCAGCAGGACTTTGTGGAGCTGGAAAGATTGCTATTTCTAGATAGTTCTCAGCAGCAACCAACAGGCTTTGACAAGTTGAGAGGCAGGATTTATATGCCCCTGGAGATTGCAATAAGTGTTGTGGATCATCCCACCCTCTTCACCTTATAGATACAGAGATATAGATCGCAGGATATAGTTGATTATGGGATATCAGTGTTCCTGCTTATTATTCTGTCATCACAATTCTCCAAGATTTTGAAGTGATGCGATGGTCGAATGTACTGTTGAACCATCTTGTTGTAACTACCCATTGTGATATCGTGAATCAGTACGTGTGCCTTCAAAAAAAATGAGATCGACCAATTTTCTTGGACATACAACGCAAATACCAACTTTTTGGGGATGCAATGGTTCTTCAACAAAAACGAGAATTTTTAAAATTTAATTTTCTTAATATAGTTTTGACTTTGACATAAGCATGCAGTTTTAATTTCAAGGTTAAAGTGTCATGCAGTGGAAGTAGCTTAAAAAAACTTTAATGATCTGTTACTTCAACCAAAGAGTATAGTTAACACAAGAGATCTCACTTAAATGCACATACTTTAATTTTCTTAAATGTCAATCGATCTGAAAGTCTGTGACTTTGAAAATTCAAAATATTTTACGTGGGTAAAATGTATTTAATCTTGTATAACCTAGCTTTATGAAAATTTCTCTTTTTGGTTTAAACCACATACTTTGATTTTTTTTTGTTTAAACATTTATTTTTAATCGAATTTTATTATAGATCTGTATTTTTTATTACAAATTAAATCATGAAGGTCTCTAATCAATTTTCTCGATGTCATTTTTCTCATGTGACAGCTCAATGTTCTGATTGGTGACGCTAGACTTGTCAAAAATACTCCAGACCAATCTCGAGGAAGCATCGAGGTCAGCATTATTTTTAAAACAAAAAAAAAACATAAATTTTGTAATAATCACACTAATTTTATCTACAAGTGGCTTAAAACCTGAATATTTTTTATTTTTAGATGTAATTTTTCTTATGCGTCAGCAACCAACGTGCTGATTGGTGACCCCAGACTTGTCAAAAATACCCCAGACCAATAGAGAATAGGTCATTGAGATTTGAGTCAGAATTTAACATGGGAAGCATAGGGAGTGACAGGCCTGTGCTTCAACATTCAGCTGATGTATTTTATACAATTTTAGTTATTTTCTAGAAACCCTTTATGACTTAATGTATTACTGTATCGTATGATGGTCTAAAATCAATAAAAAGCTAATTTGCTTTTAATTGGTATTCACAACAAGCTTACATAATCCGTTTTACCATAAATATGTGATCACTTGTCGATTTTCTTTTCCAAATTCCCATCAGTAATCTCGTAATCTCGTAATCGATTTTCCCAATGTTCCTAAGCTCTAAGCTTTAATATTATGGCTAAAATAAAGTGAAACGATAAAATTCCGGTCTTCATTTGTTTTGTTTACTAAATATTAATAATGGTATATTCATTTTTTTTGCTTCAAACTATAATTGTAATTTCATTTAATTGGTGCTTTCATTATTTTTTTTCTATTTCTTCGATATCTTGCCAAAGAAGTAGAGAGGGTAGAACACATAAATCGAAGTTTGTGGGGTAGAATGATAATGTACGGTCTGCGCTTCCATGAGGAGTGTAATAAAATGTTTTGTGTAAAGGTCTTGTTTTATTTTTATTTGAAACATATGTTCCATATTAGAGACATATTCCGTATTAGATACAAAAATACAATTTTCTATAGAATATTTTTCTGTGACTCTTGTATAATAGATTTAATATTATGAATAAATAAATTATGGTTCTCAAAGATATAAAAAATCTATACGAAAAAATAAGAATAATAAGAAAAATAAGAAGATATTCTGAATTTAATATGTACAGAAACAAAACGGTATTCCATATTTGGCTAACTTCCTCCATTTAAATACTAATTTTAATTACTTCTTTGATTAGTTTTAATTTTTTTGTCTTACCTCCTTATCCTACATTATTTTTAATACTCATCGTCAATGAATGAGGATCTTTCGTAACTCTATTTAAATCAGTTTTCTTCCACTGCAAATTATCTTCTTTTCTCCCAGTGTTGTCTTTCTGCGATCAGTGGACGTACCTAAAATGTACTGATACTTATAATACTTTCTTCTTATTGATGTACATATAGTTTTTTCCTATTGCACACTAATCCTTTTTATTATGGGGTATTATTAGATAATGTCCTTAAATTCATTTTGAATTTATTACCAATTTTATTAATTTAAAATAACCTATTATGGCACGAACAATAAATTAAAAAATAATCTGAAAAGACACTTGCATATACCTAGACAAGAGAAAAGGGAAACTAAAACTAAAATTGTCTCGTAATGAGTGATGATTAATGTCCAGTAAACAAACATATCTTATTTCATAAATCGCCGACGTATTATTTCTAACACGTCGGGATTTTACGAGTTTGTCATTCGCGGCATCGAACTTTTCTGAGTGTCAACATGTCGGCGGTTTCCGAATATGCTACCCGGCTATACTCGGGCACAACATAACTCTGGCCACCGTGAATAAGCAGATAAGTCACCTTTATGAAATTTTTCGGGAGAGCCAAAACAATATTAATTAAGTTTCTGTAAATCGCCGAAAAAGTAATATAGAGAGCTATTGTTTATTTTTACAACCAAAGTATGTTATGTATATGTAATGAAATGGTCTTAAGTGTATTTTGATTGACTTATCCTGATATTCACAAGTATATTTTAAGATACATTTTAAGATAAGTCGAGATATCTTAACGGTGTGTTTTAAAATAAATATATAGGTACCAACTTATTCATTATTATATTCAAGATATAGGGAATTATTATCATTTAATAAAAAATATATGATTGATTATGATTTTTTAATAAACGAAAAAATAATACAAAATACAAGATTCCAAAAATAACTTATTTTTGCAATACAAGTCCGAACAAACAACTACTAAAGTACACCTATAATTCGTCGGGGTCGATCTCCACCAAATCAGGATTTATGTCGGGAACGTCAGCTACCAATAAACTTTCATAAAAAGGTCGAAACTCCATATCAATAAGTAGTAAAAGTTCCATAAGGTTATTTTTCTAATCTTTGTTAATTGGAACAAGCCCATTGTGTAGCTTTGACAGTGTGAATGTAGCTGGTTTTCCTCGTCGACGAAAGTTAACCGTCTTAAAATCGTCTTCGTTACTAAGAGTTGACTTGTAATAAAGTTTTCCAATATTGTCTCCGCAATAACGTGCCCACTGTAAATCTTTCCACAAAAATTTTTCGCCATTTTCAGTACCTTTTTTTGGACCAAGTAAGTTTTTAATAAGGCAGCGAAATTAAAAAAAATGTCACATTCCATTACCTTTATTTTAAAGGGAATTGTTTTATTACAACTTCGTATTAGTTGTACCCAGTCATAAGGATGATTTATTTTCATGGATATAACTTAGGGTCAATACATTCAACGGTATTTTTTTCTTTTAAAATCGACATAAACATAGCTGCCACGTGACTATTTTTATTCTGACCTCCGCAAGTATTTGAATAAAAACAGACTTTTTTACATTAGATGGTAAATCGATAATGTGCCGGTATAAACAAGAAGCAATCTGATTTCCACCTCTACCAGAAACAGATTCGTTCCATATGTAGCAAGTGGCTTCATTTGTAGCTAAGTTAAGGACTGTCAGATTGTAAGTCCATAACTGTCTTTTGTAAAATGAAATTGAGGATTGAAGATATGGAGTGGGCAGACATTGCTGCAAATCAAAAGCAAATACAGCTGTTGATGGATATACCCGTGCAATAATTTTATCATTAGGTTTTGCTTTATAAGCTTCGTCTGCTGCAGAATGGTGATTTGCTTGCTCGAAAATTAAACGTTCCTTTTCTTCTTCACTCGCATAGGTAATTTGAATTTTAAGTGTATCACATTTGTAGCAAGTATCTTTTCGAGGCTTAGTTTCTCCCTTTTCATTTACATATTCTTTTCCAGTATTCCTTAATATTTTAGCAAACTCTCTCTGTTTTCTACTGTGGCCTTTCTTTTTCAAAGTTACAGAATCTCTATTTTTTGACTTTAAGGATGTCTTGGAATTTAATAGTTCTGCTCTTCTTTCGTCTTTTGGACGAATCTTCTGTAATTTCATCATCGATTGTATTGGAATCTTTTACGCTGTCATCGTTGAAAACATCTACTTCCTCTATTTCTTGTCTATTCGATTCTTCTTGATTGGATTGTTCAATTCCAATTACTTTCTTTCAACTAACTCTTTAATAGAACTATCTGCCAATGATCCTTGATTTTTTTTTATATCAACAGGAAAATAACTATCCGCCAACGTATTATCATTAGTCGTAGAAAAGTCGGCAGGCTTAGTTCTGCTCTTCTTTCGTCTTTTGAACGAACCTTCTGTAATTTCATTATCGATTGTGTTTTCAGTTTCATCATCGCCAGAGTCAAAATCGGGATCTTTTACGCTATCATCGTTGGAAACATCTACTTCCTCTATTTCTTGTCTGTTCGATTCTTCTTGATTGGATTGTTCAATTCCAATTACTTTTTTTCAACTAACTCTTTAATAGAACTATCTGCCATTGATCCTTGAATTTTTTTTATATCAAGAGGAAAATAACTATCCGCCAACGTATTATCATTACTCGTAGAAAAGTCGATAGACTTGAATAATATGGCATAAATTCTACTATCGTTTTCCATAGGAAACGCATTGTCTCCTACATTTGACATATTTTGGATTATTTTTGGTTCAAAATCTTCAACGAATTCTGGATTATTTGAATCAATTCGAATTAAACTTGTATTGGAAGTTCAACCCTGGGTGTTTAAATGCACTAGCTGTATATCCTGTATTAAATCCTGGCGTGGAAGGGACGCTATCCCTTCGCAACCAAATTGAAAGAAATCTTGGTTTTTTACCGATGCTTGGGTTCTTAAATTGGATATAATTTCCTCTTCATCAGAGTTAGTCTGCAACGTACACAGTTATTTTCTCCTTGGGCATCATACAGATCTGAAAAAAATTATAATAATAGTAAGTTAAATTGTTTCATGTATTCATGGACTAATAATGTACATCCGTGGATTCATATATAAAATAAAAATCTGATGTTTCCAACACATGACTTTCCTTTCTCACCTAACAATATTATGGGCTTTTTCCTGTTATTTTCCACACACATCTTACTCGACACATTTTTTATAAATATTCATTGCCAACGAATATACTGAAAAATTAAAATATTATACTTTCCTCAAATTTCTCCATTACGGTCGATTTTAGAGAAATCATGTAATTATACTCGCTCCGGGATTTGATACACATTCGCTGACTTATTTAATAGATTAAATAATCAATTTTATCGAAAATATAGACGCATTAAATATGTACATTTTTCACATACATTTTATTTAAAACATTTTTGTATATTTTCATTGTCAATGTAGTAATAAATGAGGAAAATTTGAATTTTGTACTTTTTGTCAAATTTCTCGAATACGGGCCATTTTTGGGAAATCATTAATAAGAAAAAATTATGGATAATTAAATAAAAAAAAACTTTTATTTAAATAATTTTCTTATTTAAGGGTAAATAACAGATATTTCTTGAAAGTAGAGAATAAAACCTACTATAAAGTTCCCCCAGATGTTCCGACTATGCCCAAAATCTAATCAACTCATTGGAGGATAGATTAAAGCTTATGTTCAAAATGTAGTTTTTGTGTCTTTTTCCGTTTTTGAGTTATCGTGGATCACGTCTTTGATTACTATATGGGGCAAGAGAGAGGTCCGACACGCCCAAAATAGGGCGCGGCCCACATACTTTGATTTTCTTTTACTATACGGAGAATGGTCGCACTGCGCAGCTTTCTGAGTGCCTTTTAAAAGAAGATAGAATACTCCGCCATTTTGAACCCTTATTACGTGTTGCCTACAATTGCGCAATATTTTTAAAAGGTGCGTTTTAATCATCCGCTTCTGCTTCGGAATTGTCGTTTTTCTTGTTTTAATCTGACAGGTTAAAATGACTAAACCGACAATTCAGGAAGCAGAAGCGGATGATTAAAACGCACCTGATATTTTGCTTGCTGCTGTCAGTGTCAGTGAATATTATTTTTGAAGTCATAGTTTATTGCTAAAGAATCAGTTAGCTCACTCGGACCAGTTGAAAGTTCCAAAATAACATCCACTCCAGGGATACAAATTCAGGATACGCAGGAGACTGCTGTTTTATTATAGGCGGTTGTCATATATTGTATTATCCGAGTTGCACAGTGTATAAACTAAAACATTGAGATCAAAAGTGCCGACGCAGAGTGAGCGATCTGATTCTTTAGCTGTAAATTGTGTCACAGGGTTCAAAATGGCCGCGCCCTATGTTGGGCGTGTCGGACCTCTCTCTTGCCTCGTATAGTAATCAAAGTATGTTTTTACACAAACTCAGTATCAATGTTGTACGTTTATTCATGATACAACTTATTAATATTAAAAACAGGTTTTTAACACAAATTCACCGAAGAAGAAACTTGCCAATATTATTATTTATTATAAACAATACTGAACATAACCTCAAAAACAAACATCTGAAGGGTGAACAAGTAGATAACTCAACAAATTTTTAGCGACGCGGAAATAAGTCTACATAGTCGAACATGGTTTAACACCGCAGCCGTGAAGAACAAGACAAGTCTACTTATTTGCTTATTACCAAAGACTAATATTAGCCCGAATTAGAATAACTCAACTCATCATACAAAAAGCATAAGTTTTCTTTATATTCGATAATTATAGGAGAGATATTCGACTTATTTGTTTATTGACAAAAAGGTAATTATATGTAGTACAAGTATATGTAGATATCTCATTTCTGTAAATTTGATGACTTATTTGCTTATTCACGGGGGCTAGAGATAGGTGCCGCGTGGCTCCAGGACCAAAATTTGGTGTGGTACGCGCATTATACCGCGTGGCGCTTAAGGTGATCTGTTGTATAAAACCGTGGTCCAGAACCCACCCAGAACCATAATTTTCTGTACGAACTGGGCTTATTAATTAATTAATTAATCGTGTTTTTACAAGATTGATCTGTTTTGCAGATTTATCAAAGATTTAAACATCATCTGAGTACATATTCCTTCTTAGTCGTGAATTTGCAATATCTTCGTACATTATACAGGGTGTCTGTAAAAGGTCTTTACAAAAACATACCACATATTCCTTAGACCAAAATAAGTCGGTTAAAGTAAAATTTCCTTAGTACAAAGTTGCTTCGTTTGGGCTCCAGAGGGCCTTGAAGTTACAATTTTTAAATGGTTTTTCCCATATAAATTTAAAACGGCATATGCGATTTTGCTGAAATTTGGTATATTGGTAGAGTTTTATGTAGCAAAAAAATGGTATTAAAATTTTGTCCGATAATAACACATAGGCGTAGAACTTGATTTTTTAAATAATTGCACCCTTAAAAATTCTACGTCAATGGAAGAAAAGGAGTTTGAGTATGATATTTAGATTGCGCAACTCATTTACTTTAAAAAAGGTACTCTTGATAAGACTCGATTACTCTCATGATTTTGACGAAATTTGCATTTTAGTAATTTTAGAACATAAACAATAATTTATTAAAATACAAACTTTGTCAAAACCATGAGAGTAAATCGAGTGTTATCAAGGGTAATTTTTTGTAGTAAATGAGTACCCAATCCAAATTTTATACTCAAACCCCTTTTCTGCCATTGGTGTAGAATTTTTGAAGGTGCATTTATTTAAAAAATCAAGTTCTAGGCCTATGTATTATTATCGAACAAAATTGTATACGATGAAAAACATAAAAATGTACTTTTTTCATATCTTCTTCAACACTTGTAATCGAGACTTTTAGCAAAAATACTCGATTCTTGCCATGTACGATTTTTTGAGGAATATTAATTATTTGCCTGCAATACGTATACAAAAACATTTATTGTTGGTTTCCATAGTTTCATCTAAATAAAAATATTGTCAAGTTTTAACACCTAATCTCTTGTTAACGATTGAAAGTGTTCTATCTGACTCAATAATTAAAAAACAAATGCGTGGTTTATTAATATGGCTGTACAATATACCAATGCAGAATATACCGATATGTTACTGACATTAGGATTTTGTGAAGGAAATGCTCGAGAGAGTGTCAGGGTGTACTCTGAAAGGTTTCCAAATCGTCGTGTACCTAGCCACCCAACTTTTGCTGCTGTTGAGAGACGTCATCGGGAGACCGGTTCCTTTGCTCCCAACACTGTTGATAATGGAAGAGAACGTTTTGTAAAGATTCCTGAAGTTGAAGAAGACATTTTAGAACGTGTTGAAGAAGATCCAGAATTAAGCACCAGACGAATTGGAAGGGAACTAGGAGTAAGTAAAGATGTCGTTCATAAAGTGCTTAGAGAACAATTGCTATATCCATACCATAAGAAGCCAGTACAAGAATTATTAGTCCATGATCCTCAAATTCGTTTGGGTTTTTGTCGATTTGTTAATATGCAAAGATAAAGAGATCTAAACTTTGTCAAGAAGGTTTTCTTTACCGATGAAGCGGGTTTTACAAGAAGAGGTATAACTAATACCCATAATGAACATGTTTATGCCGTTGAAAATCCGCATGCAATAAAGGTAAACCATTTTCAGCTCGAATTCAAAATTAATGTGTGGGCTGGAATAATTGGTAATTTCATTGTTGGTCCTGTCATACTTCCACGAAGATTAACTGGAGAAAATTATTTGGATTTTCACTAGTAATACCACTAGAGGTCAAATTATTTCCGGAAATTTTTTCGAGCTCATGAAATTTTCTAAAAATATTCATGAGCGAGAAAAAATTTCCTGATATTAATTTGACCTCGCGTGGTATTCGGTAACAAAATTCCACGCCGAATTATGGTTGAAACTTAAATATTTTTAAAATTTATTTTTCGTTTCTCAACAATGCAAATTATTTTCTCCAAGTCACCAGTGAAACATATAAGGTGTTGTCGCCTTGATTGTTGAGTTGTCATGGTAACTAAGTGAGACCCTAACCTCGAATATAATTTCAGTTTTGAAGTTGTCAAGCGGCCCGACGTAAAAAAATGTTTCACTGCAATTATTTAGGCCTTCAAATTGCTTATTTCTACTCATTGTAGTTGCATGGGCATACCATTTGAAAATAGAAAATAGTATATTCTTTAATTTTACGTAAGTTTTAAATAACTACAAGTGGTAGAAAATTGTTTTTCTGCGTTTTTATTAACATGCGTTATGAGCGCTTTAAAATGGTATGAAATTCATAACCAGCGTCAGCAAGCATCAATCGTAGGAGGCTGTGATCATTGTATTTTGACAGTTCAAAACATTAAATAACTCGCGTTTTGTTGCGATAAAGAATATTGCACAGAAAGTAAAACCAACAAAATTACCTATTTGTTTAAAAATGAATCGATTTGAAAATCATACGCTATGCAAAATATGCGTGAAATTGTCTAATGTAATGATCAATCATTGCACCATGACTTACTTACTCGGATTAATAGAGGATTGTGGCTCCAACTTGAAAAACGAAAATTTGTTCCGAATTGTCCACGAATATTTGCACCTAAACTACGCAAAATTCAAAGTGCTGAATGGGAAAAAGGTGAATAAATTAGTGTCTAAATATTATATATATTTTATTAGACATAGACACATAATTCAAAGCATCCAAAGTCATGCATTTTCG